ACAGGTATGTAATTTTTGTTTTTATTTAGAGAATATACCGCAACTTGTTAGACGTTGTTTCACTTCAATATATGACGACATGGAAGTTATAAGCAAGCTAAATGTAACGTTAGCTGATGTGAACCGCTTTTGTCTAGTAACGTTACAACAAACGCCACAAAATTATCTGTGACTGTGACCATGAACACAAATATACAGCAGGCAGTTGTCCTCAGTTTATAAGAAATTCAGAGCTACACCAGAACATTTATGATTTTCCTCTCGCTCTCCAAAACAAATGCATGCGGTAATTGCCAGTTGCAGTCGAGATTTTACGAATGAAGCTGAAGGCTGCAGTCGGAAATTTATGACACCAGGCTGTGGGTGTCATACCGCTTCGACCAAAACGGGCGCTATAATCAACGAAAACGGAAAGTTCCGCACAGCTGCTTTAACTGCATATTTTATTGTTATATTCTATTTTCAGTAGATAGCCAAATTTAAAGGACTCTGATCAGGGCCAAATAACTTGATCAGGACATCCCCGATGACTGAATAAAACAATACCTCATGTCATTATAAAAACAGTGTTGTGGTGCAGATTATCAGATAATAATAAAAACAGAATCATCTTCAGGTCAGTTTACAGTAGAAACAGTCTCTAACTTTGTGTCTGAGGGTCCAGGTTCATTACTGAAGTTTAGAGAAAGAGGTTTACTGCGGTCACTCTTCAAAGACAGCTGACAGCTGGACACTGGAGACTCTGATCTGTCCCCGTCTGCCTCCAAATCAACCATCTTCCCAAATCTGAGAAAACTGTAACACACATACACAGTGTGATGAAGTCAGTAACTTCTTATTTATAGGACATGATTACATATTGGCTGGGTATTGTTATGACATACAGTAGGGGAGAGCGGGGTCAGTTGGGACACTTTTGTATTGACACTAAATAACCTTTGATTACTCACAGACTACTTGAACAGTAATGAAAATAATTTGATCTCTGAACAGATACAGGCGTCTGCTAACTATTTATCAGGTTTTTAGAGCCCAACCCAAACGTGAAAGGCACAGTTTTGTTAAATGTACAAGGAGTGCATTTTCCCAAAGTTCTGACTCCCTGGGACAGTTGGGACACCAGCCGTGAGAACATATCATTTATATTGAAAAAAGAAATCAGTCTAAATTTGAACACCTTATATTCACAGCATCATTTGTTCACACATTTCTTTGAGAGAAAGAAAACATTTGTAAAACTAGAATTTCTGTCTCAAAGTTGTATGCCTTCAAACACCAGTTGAGTTTCTCTTACAACATCAGTTTAGTTAGTTTAGTTTATTTACTTTTATTAATCCCCCTGAGGGGAAATTCAATGTTTTCACTCTTGCTTGTCCGAAAGACACACACATGCACAAACAGGACCTATACATGCACAAAGTGGAGAGATCTCAGAGTGAGGGGGCTGCCCTTGGTCATGCGCCCCGAGCGGTTGGGGGGTTCAGTGCCTTGCTCAAGGGCACCTCGACAGTGCCCAGGAGGTGAACTGGCACCTCTCCAGCCACCAGTCCACGCTCCATATTTTGGTCCGGACGGGGACTCGAACAGGCGACCCTCCGGTTCCCAACCCAAGTCCCTATGGACTGAGCCACTGCCGCCCAATGTCAGATCAGATCGCCCAGATCAGTGTCACCAACTCAGTCTCTGACCAAATGTCTCCCCTTCTGCTCCTGATATATTATGTTTAATAATGACCAGAGAAGTGTTTTATGCAGAACATGATAATGTCACAGTGAAGCTGACCTTTGACCTTTTTGATATAAAATGTCATCACTTCATCATTTTATCCTGTGAGACACCTGTATGAATTTTTTTTCATAATTAGCTAATGAATTCTTGAGTGAATGACAAAAACTTCTTTTGCCAGATTGACCTTGAGCTTTGACCACCAAATTTTAATTAGCTCATCCTCTAGTCCAAGTAAACGTTTGTGCCAAATATGAGTAAAGTCCCTAAAGGCCTTCTTGAGATTTTGTGTTCATAAAAATGAGACGGATGCAAGGTCATAGTGACCTTGACCTTTGACTAGTGATGGCCAAATGAAGCCTCATGAACCACTTTCTTTATTTTCTGACCCCACCAGATGGCGCTCTTGGTTTAAAGATAAAGGCTGAAGGAATGGCAGTGAAATGTGCTTTCAAACCTTTGTTGAACAGACAGCACCATCTACTGGCTTCAGAGAATAAAGACAGTGGTCCGTGAGGCTTCATTTGGCCATTACTACCTTTGACCACCAAAATCTATGCATACGAATACGAATATGAAAACTTTATTGTCCACAGAGTGGAAATTTGTCTTTGGTTCCACCATTAACATGTCTCAAGGCAAGAGGACACACAAAACATAATAAAACACTGCAGAGCAGAGGATATAAAATATGAAAAAATTATGACTGCCTTTGCAATACAGTGTACAGTCAACACACATTTGTCCACATTCAAAACATACCAGTTCATAAAAGTACACAACGCAATATGAGTTAAATTAAAACACATAGGTCTAGGATAGGGCTGTGACAATAACCGCATCACCGCACATGCAGAAATGTGACGTATCACCGCCATACCGGGGTGATACGTCACTCTGTCACCGCTGTGAGAAAAAATACATACCGTCACAGAAACCCTCAGCAAGAGTAAAAAGTAGGAGTAAAGGTAAATATCTACCGCATTCTAGTTTTATTTATTGTATTGACAGCTTCTGGGACAAAGGACTTTTTATAGAGATTTTTCCTTGCCATCGGTAGTCTGTAATGCTTCCCTGAAGGTAAAAGTTCAAATTCACTGTACAAAGGATGAGAAGGGTCGTTAATGATCTTCTCAGCTTTGCGTCTGATTAATTCATCGTACAGACTACTCAGCTGCTTCTGTGGCTTCCCTAAGATCTTGGAGGCCATGTTCACTATTTTCTGCAGTTTGTTTCTCCATTTAATGTTCAGATTTCCATACCACATAATCATATTAAATGATAAGATACTTTTCACCAGGCTCTTATATACTGTTTCTAAAATAGTTTGACTCACTCCAAAAGTATTGAGCTTGCATAGCAGGTGGAGGCATTGTGAACATTTTTTAAAAATGTGATCCATATTTATTTGAAATGTAAGACTGCTGTCATTGTATGTGCCCAAATATTCAAAATCATCAACCATCTCGAACATTTGTCCATTGATGATTATTGGCTTCATTATATTTTTGTTATTTTGTAAGATTAGCTCCTTGGTCTTTGAGACATTTATTTCTAAGGAGCTGGTTGAACACCAATCTTGAAAGCTCAGTGCATGGTTAAAATACAAATTCTCTCTTTCAGTATCGCCCTCCTGCAGGAGAGCAATCAACACCATATCATCTGCGTACTTAAATAAACTAAAGTATGCATGATCAATATTAAACTCATTTGCGTACACAGAGAAAAGAGAGGGTGAAAAAATGGCAGCCTGTGGTGCTCCTGTGTTCAATACGATCTCATGTGAGACAATACCATTTACAAGGATTCTTTGTGGGCGGTCAGAGAGGGAGTCTCTGATCCAATGAAAAATGCCACCGTTAACCCCTAGATTGATGAGTCGCTGCAAAAGGATATGTATTTGCATGGTGTTAAAAGCAGATGTGAAATCAATAAAAATAATTCTAACATAGTGTATGGGGACTTGTAAATGTTTTGTTATGGTGTTGAGCAAGGTTACAGTCGCATCATCTGTGTCCCTCTTACTTTTATATGCGAACTGCAGGTGGTCAAGGCCGTTTGATATAGAAGCTGTCATATATGTCTACTTAAAACTCTCTCCGTGCACTTACCTAAAATGGAGGTGAGTGCAATGGGCCTATAATCATTTCATTCTGAAGTCCCTGGCTTTTTAGGAATGAGCACAATGTTCGACATTTTCCAAATTTGGGGTACTGTACACAAGTCAAGCAGGAGCTGAAATAGTTTAGGCAAAACTCCTTTTAATTGTATAGTTCAATCTTTTAACACTCTCCCTCTGAGGCCATCAGGCCCTGGTGCCTTTTTGGGTTTTATTCATGCCAGACTTGAGGCAATTTCATGTACAGAAATTTGTCTTATCAAATTGGCTATAAAATAATTTTAATTCATTAGCCCAGGATGGAGAAAGGTGGATCACAGGGGCATGTTTCTGCTCCCTCCCCATCATTTGATTTAGACCTTCCCATGCTCTTTTAGCACTGCCAGAATAAAAGTGTTTCTCTACTTTATCCTTATACTCTATTTTTGCTTTTTTCAATTTAGCTCTTAATTCACATGTCTTCTCTTTGACAAGTTCTGTATTCCCGTTAACAAAAGCAAGTTTTTTCTGATTTATACAATCCTTTAAGTCACTGGTTATCTATAACTTATTATTTGGAAATATTCTAACTGTTTTTGTGCGGATAATGTTACTTGCACAGAACATTATATAAGATGTGATAGTGTCTGTCAAATCATGTGGGTTATCACAGGAGTCAAAGAAGATCTGCCAGTCCGTATTGTCCTGACAGTCTCTCAGTTCCTCCTTACAATCATGTGACCATATCTGTATATCCTTAGTCACTGGCTTTTCCCATTTCAGCTTCGCCCTGTAACATGGGAGCAGATGTATGACGTTATATTCAGACTTTCCCAGGACTGGCCGACAGATGGATTTGTAGGCATCGGGTAAATCACCATAGCACCTATCCAGGGTGCACGTCAGACGGGTCGGGCAATCTACATACTGTTGTAATGCAGGTTGAAAAGATACCACCAGAATTTCATAATCGCGGGTGCAGACTTTGTCCCGAACAGTGTACTGTGTGGCCCATCGATTGTCAACAAAAAGACACATGCCACCACCAGCTGATTTCTGTGATAGTGTATTGTCCCTGTCCGCCCTTATCAATGTATAACCGGACAGGTTTGGATTCATCATCCCCTCTTTTAGCCAGCTCTCAGTGAGAGAGATGAGATTGCTTTGTCTAAAATCACTGTCATATTGGACTTTCGCCATCAGTTCATTAATTTTGTTCTTCAAGGAGCGGACATTAGAGAGAGTTATTACTGGCAGGTGATGTTTGCAGCCACGTTTCCTTAGTCTTTGTTTCACTCCTCCTCTCGAACTTCTTTTCTTTGCTTTAGACTTTCCTCTTGTCCAGATCTTCTTTTATTCAGGATAGGTATCCAGTGTGTCCAAGTTAAAAGCTCCCCCTGACTTTGCTGGGGGTTTGAGCGACAGCAGGCACTCACGTGTGTGAGTGACGACGCCGTGATTTTCTCCGGAGAAACCTCATCCTTCAACAAACAGCCATCCAAGAAGGCACACAGCCAGAGCCACAAAATCATACCAAGCATAATCTTCATTTTGCCTGCACAAATATCCACCTCCAATCACTTAAAAACTGAGCTGTGAAGATGTCCCTCAGACGTAGACAAACACTCCCGTTCTAAATTATTGCTGCCAGTGCCCCCCAACATTCTCTGAACACCCCTGTGTTAGCTCCCAACAAACATTCAGCTAACACTAGCACAGCCTGATAGGCCTGAAAATCAACTTTCCAACCATATGTTTTTGTATGTGGCACAACTAAAAACAGTATGGTAGAAGACAAATGACAAAAGAGCCAAAACATTTACTTACATGCTGTAGATTTCAAAACTGTGAATAAATTGTGAGCAATAGTCAGACGGTCTCCATTTTGAGGTTGAAAGTGAACAGGGTGTGGCTGAGCATGGTGGATGACACAGTTTCTTTCTACCTTGCTAAATAGGCGGCACTGTCCGACCCCACTCTCCCCTATAACAGACTAAACAATGAATCAGAATAAAAATCAGCTGATTAATCAATAATGACAGTAATCATTATTTTTATAGTATTAACACTCACCGTGTCTCAGACGACCTGTATTCCTCTGACTGCTCTGTCCAGTTTAAAATGGAGTCTGAACACACTGACTTTAGACTCTCAGTGTTCCCTCCTGTTGGCACCTCCTCCCTTTTATTCATAGGAATTTT